GATTTTAAGATAAGAAATATTACAGTGCGATAATCACATATTAAATCCTAAATATATTGTTGCTGGATAAAATAGTTTGAATATTCTAATTACACCTAACAGTTCTGTAATTTTTCGAATTGATATTACGAAGTTATTAGAAACAAAATTTGATTATAACATAATACTATTATATATGAGTATAGATCACTGGTATTAGGTGATCTGTTACACTGAATAATCGATTGAACTCGATAATATAAATATTTATATTGTACTTAGCTGGCACCCATTCGCCACACTCCGATATTTAGGAGTATAAAAAGTTTTTATTTCCGGAACATTTTTCGAAATCAAAATAACAATAGTATTACAATAAAATCAGGAGTGGAAATAAATAATATTTTCTTTGTTCATGTATTAATTTACAAAAAAAGAAAGTGTAAAATAAAATCAAAGTTTATCAACATTAATTTTTATCTGCTTTACGTTTTAAGTTGAATCAATATTGAATTTTTGTACACGATGGTTCTTGTGATCCACGACGTAAAGATTCCCTTGTTGATCAAATGACAAATCCAAAGGACCGCTAAGTTGATTTGCTTCTGTACCTGGTCTAATATCGCCAACAATGATACTACCTTGTGCAGCATGTTTACGCCAACGCGTTACTCGACAATTACCTTGATCTGCCACATAGACATTGCTTAGCCGATCAACTACCACACCTCGAGGATAGCACAATTGTGTCAGTTCCTTTCCTTGACCTTGACCGCCAGCTACTAAAATACCTTCCTTTGCATCTTTAACCCATTTCATCATGCGATGATTTCCATTATCGGATACGTATAATGACTTCTCTTCATCAACAAAAATGCTCCAAGGTTGGTTCAGCTGATCAGCTCGATTTCCTTGTCCATTTCCACCTGCTACTACTATTCCATTTGTATCCCCCATTTTCCATCGTCTCACTTCATGTTTCACGTAGTCGCAAACATAGAGATATCCTTCATTATCCATTGCTAATCCAAGACAATTAATGTTCGAGATGATTGTTTGTCCACTTCTGCCATTCTGACGAGGCCATCGTATTATTCTTTCATTACCACGATCGGAGATAATAAAACAATCATTTACTTTGTCAACTATGACACTTGTTGGACCATTTAATTGATTATCTTGGTTTCCAGCTCCATTTCCCCCAGCAGCTATTTGGCCATTGGGTGCATCACGTTTCCATTCTACAATACGATGATTACTAAAATCAGCAATGTACATAGTTTCATCTTCGTCGATGTACATACTATACGGATTAAATAATTGATTATTTCCATTGCCTTGTCCACTGCCTCCAGCTACTGTGATACCATTTTGTATCCATTTTGCATCGATACCTAGATTTGGTAAATGCGATGAGACTAAAATAAAATATACATTTATAATAAGAGAACGATTTGATTGCAGTTGTTATCAGTGACAACATGAAGAATTCGCCTTTTTAGTAATCAAAAGAAGTTCTTCTACAATAAAGCTTGTCACATAGTTTATGTGAATAAAATCATTTAATTGTATCACTTATCTACTACAATTTCTCTAGTAAATTATAAACTTAATTAATGAATTATTTAATGAAGATATTAAAAAAATTAGTCTTCTTTGAATTCTTATCATCATTATAATTTAACTTTCAGTTTTTATTTGATATAGTGTACATTTATCCGTACTGAACATTTCTAGTTTATCAATTATTTTCTTTTGAAACCTTTAA